GGAAGGATCTCTCCACCAACCTGAAGTGGGCAAGCCACCCTTTTCCGGCTGAGGACCATGGCCTCGGATTTGGAGGTGCTTATTTTCATCCCAGCCGCTTCACACTCGGCTGCAAACCGTCCCAGTGCACGTTGAAGGTCCTGGTATGAAGGGGCCAACACGACAACATCATCCGCGAAGAGCAGAGACGAAATCGTGTGGTCCCCAAACCTGACACCCTCCGGCCCCTGGCTGCGCCTAGAAATTCTGTCCATAAAGATTATGAACAGAACCGGCGACAAAGGGCAGCCCTGCCGGAGTCCAACATGCACCGGGAAGAAGTCTGACTTACTACCGGCAATGCGAACCAAGCTCCTGCTTCGGTCATACAGGGACCGGACAGCCCTTAGCAAAGGACCCCGGACCCCATATTCCCGGAGCACCCTCCACAGGCCGCCTCGGGGGACACAGTCGAATGCCTTCTCCAAATCCACAAAACACATGTGGACTGGTTGGGCAAACTCCCATGAACCCTCCAGCACCCCGTAGAGAGTATAGAGCTGGTCCAGTGTTCCACGGCCAGGACGAAAACCGCACTGTTCCTCCTGAATCCGAGGTTCCACTATCGGCCGTATTCTCCTCTCCAGTACCCTGGCATAGACTTTCCCAGGGAGGCTGAGAAGTGTGATCCCCCTATAGTTGGAACACACCCTCCGGTCCCCCTTCTTAAAAAGAGGAACCACCACCCCGGTCTGCCATCCCAGAGGCACTGTCCCCGACCGCCACGCGATGCTGCAGAGGCGTGTCAACCAAGACAGCCCCACAGCATCCAGAGACTTAAGGTATTCGGGGCGGATCTCATCCACCCCCGGTGCCTTGCCACCGAGGAGTTTCTTGACTACCTCGGTGACCTCAGCTAGGGTGATGGACGAGTCCACCTCCGAACCCTCAGCCTCTGCTTCCTCCATGGAAGACGTGACGGCGGGATTGAGGAGGTCCTCGAAGTATTCCTTCCACCGTCCGACGACATCCCCAGTCGAGGTCAACAGCCGCCCACCCCTACTGTAAACAGCATTGGTAGGGGACTGTTTCCCCTTCCTGAGGCGCCGGACAGTTTGCCAGAATTTCTTCGAGGCCAGCCGATAGTCCTTCTCCATGGCCTCACCGAACTCCTCCCAGGCCCGAGTTTTTGCCTCCACGACCACCCGGGCCGCAGTCCGCTTGGCCTGCCGGTACCTGTCAGCTGCCTCCGGAGTCCCACGAGCCAACCAGGCCCGATAGGACTCCTTCTTCAGCTTGACGGCATCCTTTACTTCCCATACTACTTCTGAAAAGGATCTCTACTTCAGAAATTGTATGAAAATTGTGAAAATAATGGTTCATATCACTCAAAACACGAATGGAAATGTAGGCGCCCTTATATGGGCAGTAATGGAGTCTGGTTGTGCCCTAGTGAAAAAGTTTGGTACTGCGCTCAAACAAAATCTTACTGAAAGCTCATTTTTTGAGATATCAACCTAAAATTTGAAACACAACTTGTTCAGATTTTTGGCTTTGATCTTTCTGACATTTTAGAGTAGCCCAGGTTTTGAAAATATATATTTTATGTAAAATATGAATAATTAATATTTTTACATTGTACATTTCCATAAACTCAAAATTCTATAACTTTTTTTCTGTTTCACTTTTTTAATTTCTTTCACTTCTACAAAAATCTGCCAAATGTCTTCTTTAAAACAAGACCAATCATATGTCTATATTCCAAAGCATTCTTGAATTACAACCATTTAAGTTCGAAATGTGCATTTTCATGTCTATTCAAAAAAAGGGGGGGGGGGGGGTGACAGTTAACAGGTTAATTAAGTATTGCTTTATACAAGTATTCACTTGTGTTGAGCTGTGATTGCTCATGTAACTCTCATAACTGTTGTGATGATTCTTGGTTGTCAGTGTATTAAAATGGTCTAAAACAGATATCAATACATCAATAAGTTGGTAAATCCACATTTTATCAGAAAATAAATTACGTTTTTTACTGTAAATTTTAAGTTAATCTGTAAAACCATTTCCGTTCCTACCGTATTTTTAACGGTAAAGTTCTGGCAAAAAGTTCTTTAAGAAATAAAGTTCTTATTTTTTACAGTGTGGCAACCACAGCTGGCAGTAATTTACCATTTTTTTTTTTTACAGGATTTTTATTTTATTTTTATTATTATTACATTATTATATTTAGTATGCTAACTATGATGTGCAGTGAATAACAGCTTACATTTTGGTCTGAAAAAAAAAAAAAAAAACTTTGAAATGACATGAGGGTGGGTAAATTTTTTCTGGATGACCTGTTCCAAATTCCCAGTCTTACTATGACCCTGGCTGTGCCGTTCATGGGAGAGTTTTCATGTAGCCAAATTCTCTTTCCCTGCACTGCTGAGTGACAACATGGACGCTCGCTCTGGAGGGAATGAGGCTGATTCCGTATCATTTAGGCTTATCACGAGTGAATATGCTTTCAAAGGCCCGTGGGGCTACAAAGAGAGCTTTGAGGAGACGGACAGGGACAGCTGCTCTCCAGGAACCCTGGCAAGCAAGTCTGCACTCTCCCGTTCCCATCTGCGAATGCTCTTTCAGGGGTGGCTCAACTGATCAAGGGCTGAATTTAAAAGCACTAGATGATGGAAAAGTAATCGCCCTCGCTGTGAAAATAGACCATGCATGTTGTATCACTTATTCACAGTGAATATGTTTCTTTTTTTTTTTTTTCTGTGATTTCTAAGTGAAAAAAAGTGAATAATTTGCATTGCTCAATAGAACTATCGTTTTGCGCGGTAGGGAGTCCTCGTCCAACTGTTTTCTACTATTGGGTTTTGGAGCTTACAGCTGCATTTCTATTGAACTCAGACCATTTTTTGTATTTATATCATACATTTTACAGACACAAGCTTTTAAAAGCTGTGTCAAATGCAAGATGCCATTTATGAAAGATAATGCGAGATTCATTTAACTCTCTGTGATCTAATGCACACTCATCAGTATTCATAAGGTGGACAAGAAAATCTAAAAAAACAACAAAAAAAAACAACAACAACAAATAACTGAATCATTTCAGCAGGGATTTTTAATCACAATCGTATTTGCAATTAACAAATAATTCTTTATTCTGCTTATTATTCACTGTTTATTTAGAATGTTTGTATTTTTAAAGGTACACTATGTAACTTTTGTCCCTCTAGCGATTAAAAAACAAAAATGCATTTTGCGGCAGAACATTGTTTTGGTTGTGCTTAAAGGGACACTATGAATTTTTTAGCTTAACTAAACAGCTTCAGAGTTATTGAAATGGCTATATGAATTATTTCGTGTTGAATGGTGGGCGATTCGCTCAGACGCATCACGTGGTGTACTCTGCCAATGTTAATTCATTGAGTTACTGCAGCTGTAGGCCTGTTATGCCTGCCGCGTTATTAAATAATCAGTGAAATCATGAGCTTGAAATATTAAATATTATTATTATTACTAAGGGCCTGAGCATTTATTCTGTTTTTGAGCATTTTTGTTTCCAATAGAAATGTATTAAATTCCCTACTTTTTTCTCAAAATTAGATTTTTGTCATTCTCCAGTACAAACATCTCAGCCTTTGTAGCACTTAGACCAAACTTACGCTTAGCAGTATTCTGAAGATGTTTTCAGAGGGATTTGTTAATAAATCATTCCTGGCGTGATTTATGTGTCATTTTATTTAAAAAAAAAAAAATATGGCGAAAATCAATTTTTTAAGGGTATGGACAGTATATTTTAATGAACGCATAAATCCTGAAATCCCTCTGAACTTTTTTTTCATCTTCTGTGTAAACAAAAAGAAAAAAAAGAAAAGAATTTTGCACCTGGCTTTATCATAGATCTATCTTCCAAAAATATATGCAAAATCATGAATATTGAATATTTTCGTTTAAAACGGGTGATTCCCTGGAGGTTGGAGATTTAGCTGCTTCATATTAATCATTTTTACACGTTGTGATAACTAACCCATGCCACTCCAACACCATGTACAGTACGTGTGGAAGTAGCAAGAGCAACGTTTCTCTATTTACTACGACGAGACACGCACAGGTGAGTGACGTACGGACGCAATGTACCACGTAAAACATCCAGCTAGGTCTAAAATATAAACACTAATAGGCTTACCATTCTGAATCAGGGAAAGGATTGATGATGTTGATTCATTATGTACATTTTGTTCATTCTGAACAAGAAAAAGTTACATAGTGTACCTTTAACACACAGCATCTCAGGGCTTTATAATCATTATTTTACATGAGTAGATTATCTCATGTACAGTTATTATTGTTGCAGTTTTGGTAACCTACATATATTGTTATTTTTCACATGCCACTTTGTAATTAAGCAAATTAAACTAACCCTGATCCATAATCCCTATTGTTTCAGTATTCACTCTTTGTTTATTCTCTATATGCGTAATGTTTACAGTGCTCACATACTGTGAGTTACATTGCAGACGTATATCGACTGGAATGACAATAAACCTCGCTTTGTTTTGACTTGTCTAAAAATACTGATGAGTTCATGTTAGATTATGAATTAAGTTAACAGAGAAAAAATGTTTATATAAAGTCCACACACACACACACACACACACACACACATATATATATATATATATATATATATATATATACATATATATACTGTATGTAGGTATAAACAAAATAATATTATTGTAAAAATACAACACATGAAGTAAAACATTAAAAAAAACAATTAAGTAAGTTAAAATGACACAATTAAAGTGTTTACAATTACAACAATATTTTGAGCATGCTCTGTAGGCCTTTGTTGTAACATTATTAAATATGACAATATACTAAAAAAATGATTTAAATGAATTAAAATGACATTTCTAGATTCAATATAATGACTATATCTATATAATGTGACAATAAAACACAGTTGCATACTGTAATTGTGAAGTGTAAAGAGAAGATAACAAATAAAAGCATCTTTGAACATTGAAATCATTTAATGTTTTAAAGCAAATACAGTTTACTTCACTGGGTCAACACATGTGAACAATATATATATTTTTTTCATATCATTACCGACCTCAGCAGACATACATTCACACGGCTGCATGAAGACAAGATCTTTCTTTATGCTTTTTTTTTTGTTTGTTTGTATGTTTGTTTGTTGCAGTTATGTACAAATTCATTGTAATGCATCAGCCCCACATCTCTATACACACCCCATTAACATATCAAAACCTATCTACCCAAGTCAATGTCAAAGTAGATTTATGGCAATAAGCTATACATCTCCAGCCGCCAGAGCGGTTTAATTTGTTTTCTAGTTCAGTTTCCGCTCAACGTCCAGACTTGAAACTCCGCCATTTCTGTTCCCCCTACACACAGTAAACCCAGCTATAGTTTCCAAGGTACATTATTTACAGTGGAATGTCAGGCTTTGAAGTGGGCAGTTAGAAAGACATGAGAATCTGGAATGAAAAATCTAAAATCCGTATATCTAAAGAAAACGAGGAACATAAAAAAGCAGTATTTTTTTTAAAAAAAAGTGTTTTTCTTTGTACGCCCACGCAATTTAATGTTGCCAGAAGCCTCAACATCAACTGATACTCCAGATAAAAGAAAAGTAAACAATAAAGCAAAATGCAGGTAAAATGAAAATGAATTGTAGTCAATTGAAATGTCTTATTTTAGATTTAAAGCCTAAATAGCCATTTGGTGGATGGGTAAATTGTGCTTCGCTTTAGAAATAAAAAAGACAAAACCCTGGGAGCATGTTATCAATGAAAGAATGAAAGAGAAATGAAAGTGATATGAACATAACTACATCTTGTGCTTTAGCTAAAGTGGTGCCAGTCTCTTTAACGACGGCCATGATTACGCAGCAGGTTTCCAGTTGTGAGCTGGTTAACAAAGTGCTGACGCACCAGCGATGTGCTGCTTTTTGTATTTTGTCATGTCACATGAAGCAGAGAGAATATTTCTATTCATGAGGGTTTAAAAAACCTGGTAAAAATACATCTTCTATAATAATACTCGAAGTCCAGGCGTTGCGCTTTCCACCACGCTGGCCGACTTGTGTAGATTCATATCTTTATCGTGTCAATGTCGTAAAAAATGTACAGTGAGGGGAGACGAGACACAATAACTCTAAAAAATAAAACAATATGTACAGGATTCAGATCTAAATAAAGACAAAACCTTACATCTCACACGTCATAGGCACTGCAATTTGTATAACGCTGCACATTGAACTTACTAAGCTAAAACACAAGGTTTGTACACTTATTCATCATGTGGTCCGTTTTAGGTCAAATTAAGATGTGCACGGGTCTTTATCTATGATGTAAGCATTTTTCGGCTTTCCTCACGGTTTGGACCATAACTAGTCCATTCTTTTGATAATGGCTTCATCCACCAAACAGAGTGTGGTGCTCTGAGCTTTAATGCAGAAAAACAAAAAGCCCATCAGATTCTGTGCCGACCTGCTCATGGACAATAATTCTTAAGTAAGTGGCGTTCATCTGGAGTTTCCACCATTTACAGGTCCTCCTGGATTGTCTATGTGATTACAACGGTTCAGCATCCTAATCTCTCATCTTGTACAGCGTCCCGTTTAAGGCAGGCAAGAGAATTAAATATTTCATGGGGAAGCCATGATAAATTCCACTAACTGGTTTTTATCTGTTGGGTGATATGGATGCAGTTCTCTAGGAAATACAATCCTTTAGTGGAAAACTACCACTGAACACCAAACCCTGATTCAAAAAAGTGAGACAAAAGGCTGGACCAAACAAAGAGAGACAAAAAAACACACATGCATTAAAAATGCTTGTACATTTTGCAGCCAAAACAAGGTCAGTATCCTGATGAACAGCCATTTTACTCATTTAAATACATACTAATTTGTAGCCAACAGGTCTGCTCCTTATAGAGGCTTTCAAAGATCCAGTGGTACATACATTTTTTGATTTCACTTTGGCTTGAGACGTTTCCGCAATTTCATTCCCATGACCCATGCCTTTACCGTTACCTGCTCTCGGAAAAAAAAAAAAAAAAAAAAGTTCTTCCATCAAGAGGCTCTAAATGGTGGTTGACACAAAAATCCCCTGTGGAGCTAAACATTACCGTTGAACCTGTTCATATTTACAAGATCTTGAATTCTTGAATTGAACATTTTGACCACTCCACATCACCAACTCTATATACTGTAACAAACACCCTGTCTTTATAACAACACCACATTCTACAGGATTATCCTTTTGCGTCTTAAGAGTTTCAGAGGAAATGGATTTTGGAAAGCGTCACTATGGGATGGCACATCCGAGGTGGATCTATGGATGGAGACTGACTAAGACTGGCATGGAGATTGGGTGGGTGTAGTATACAGTATCTGTCTAGGCCCCGTTCTGCATGAGCATATGACTAACGCTGCAGATGTGTTCCTCAGCTCTCAGCATTGCCGGGTCTTAAAATAAATACTGTTTTTGGAGAGCAGTCAGAACCCACATGCTTTTTTTCCCCCCCCATTGGATTGTACGGACCTTTTCAGACCTCGTTCGTTAGTTCTTGACCTACATTAAGGGTCCTTTAAGATCTGATGTTTCCATTGAACACAATAGCGTTGATGTGAGCTTTGACCTTGTATTGACAAGTTTGGGCAAGAATAATTCTTCTACTGTTTAGTTCCACATTTTTAGGTAACCAACATTCCATATAAAAAGCAAGACGATATATAAAAATGAACAAAAACTATTCGTGTAAAAGCAATGGTAATATGATAATGAGATTTGAAAAAAGACAAACAGATAAAAAAATAATCGTACATCCAGTGTAAGACTTTCACAACATGATCAGCAATATACCCCTTTCCAAAACAGTTACAGTCTCTTTTTATACATTTAATACATTTATAATAACAACAAAATGAGACAAACAAAAGGATAATACACTGTAATATTTTCAAGCGACCTGCCTGTCCAGCCATACTGGATGTCGACTGGCATCGGTCAGTGAGAAAACTTCTTGTTGTCGTAGCAGGTTCATCTAAAAGCATGTGGATGTGCAATGGATGATGGCGTGTTGCTATTTTTCTACAGCTGTTTCCGATGGACTCTGATGGGGGCGGAGGTTACTGGGTCAGGGGTGGGATGTGCAGATAAGGATAAACACATTGAGGGAGGGTTCTAGTGATGGAGGTGGGTGGGTGTGGTCGGATGCAGGAGAGGGCAAAAGGTCGTTGATCTTTTTTTTCCCCCTTGACGTCGCATGCCGCTCTACACGTACCACTCTTTCTTTGAAATAACAGAGCCGTCGGTTTGGGACACCATGTCGTCGGCGATCTCGGGCTCGGGGTCGTACTGGAAGGCGAGGGTCCGTTCGTCGTAATCACGACTTTCGCCTTCGTCTACGGTGAAATAGGGTCTCTTCAAATCCTCAGAGTTGCCGTCGAAATCCCGATCGCCGCCCTCGAAACCGCCGGGCCCGCTGATTTGAGCCGGCTTCTTTTCATCGTCCGAGTCGTCGGGGTACTGCAGGTTCTTGGGCATCGGGGGATGGGCAGGCACGCCACCGGCTTTGCTGTATCCATTCCCGAACACGTGTTTTTTGGTGCTGTAGTCACCCTTAAAGGTGCGCTGGCGACGCCGCAGGAAGAAGACGAGCAGCGCGATGGCGGCCGCCAGCAGGGCCACCCCACCAACCGCGCCGCCAATGGCAATGCCGGAACTGTGCTGCTCCAATGGGATCTCACGGCCATCGTGAGTCGGGAAGATAGGGAATTCTGGGTAGGAAAACACAGATGGAAGGGGAGAGTGTGTCAGTGCTCAGGTGGGAAGGAAGTGCATTTGTGCAGGTGCTCATTTTTGATGAGGAAAGGAATAAAGGGGAGGAGAAACAAAAGGGAAGACAGGAAGGAGCCCCCGCCCCATAACCCCCAACCCACCCACTCCTACAAAACCATCGCATTAGGATGGCTTCAGATAGAAAAGCAAGAACTGAATGTTCACTAAAAGCATGCATTTTATGGAAAGGACACAAGAACAAACACCCAAACCATTTCGAGTCTTGAATCTTTGGAGAACTAGAGCAGGGGTTTCCATTTAGCATGATTTTAAGACTAGTTTCTGTTCTTGTTTATTGGTTTCACCACATGACACACTTAATTGGATTGGCTACATTTAAATATCTTACAACCAATTCTATCTCCCAAGGTGACAAAAACTGAAGCATACTCTAAAGGTACCCATTGGCATCATTTAATCAATTGCTTTCATTAAATTTCTTTGCATGAATTTATAAAAATAGAAATCATAATTGTGTTTAAATTGAAAATAAAATTATACTCCAATATATAATTTCATGACAATAAATGTTCCATGCCTTTCACGTATGTGTATTAATATCAACGGTTTCTAATTGAAAGCAATGGAGTTCCAGATTTGTCAATATAGCAACCACTTGGGTTACCTTTAACAATAATGACGCTAAAGGCACATAACCATAATTTGATTCCTTGGGAGTGAGAATGAATTGGAAATGGACCCGCCATTCAAGTCTCAATGATGTTACAGTAAATGTTAAGCTTTTCCTCAACTTTAGGTTGCTTTAGACTAGCAAAATCTTGTTCCCCCCTCTATCTCTGACATAGCGTAAAGTGTAGTACATAGGTGTCCTTGATCTTTTAGGTTATTCACTGTACCACTTTAATCCATCTGGAAGTACAACTTGCGTTAAAAGTAACAATCAGCACCAATAACAATAGAATAGAAAGCTCTTTAAATCTGATTGACCCTCAAAAATTATGATTCAACATAAGCAGAATGTTGCGAGCATTTGAAGCTCTTGACCTTGCTGGCTTACATTGAATAAATGTTTTATAGCATACTTCGTTATTCTCTTAAACCATTCCATTGAAATACATGTATTTCCTTTTTGCTAAATGATTTAAAGCACAGATGAGAAGTCCTAATGCTGCAGGTGAAAGGCAAACCAAGCACTACTGCTCTCAAATGTCCATAGCGTCATTTTAATCAGTGATGTGGTTTTTATAGTCATGCTGGAACATAAATCCCCTGCAAGGCTACTGTACATAGTTACAACTGACATACTGCTTGTGGTTTTGTTTTCAAAGCACATAAAAGACATGCATCCAACAGAAAGCAAGTGACACAGCATGTAATAAGCCCATGCAAAAAGTCAGTAAGCCATTTCTTAAAAGTTCCCAAAGCACTGCGATTTGCAAACAGCAATTAGAGTTGGAGAAGAAATTCAAACACGCTCACACACATACACGAAACTGAGACGCACAACTTTTTCAGCATCGGATCATTCACAATTGCTGGATTAACAGCTTATACGCTTACATGCGGTTTGTGAAGACTTTTCTTTGTGCGGCACTCCTTGTAAACATAACCAAACCGCTCCAAGTGTTACAACAGGTCAGTGCAAAAATCTACCAAACCTCAAATATACCATTACATAACCAAACCGCTCCAAGTGTTACAACATGCGACAAAACAAGAAGCTAGTTATATATCTCCCATGCTAAGCTTATTGAAACTACAGTATCAATACATTATGTTTAGCCGTTTCATTTCTATTTGCGTCACATGCAAAAAACCAAATTGGAAATCAGTAGGGCTGGGTATTGAGAGAAATTTCACAATTCGATTCGATTTCAATTACGTTTCGATTCGATTCAATATCGATTATTTTGGATATCAGTTACAATAAATGGCATTTTTTCTCAAGGGAATCGAATCTCTTAAATGCTGTAAACTATGGGAGTCTAGTTGTAGCCTACTAGGCTTCATTAGCCTAATATGAAGGTAATAATGAACTGTTTTGTAGCTATACAAACACTTAAATTACACTTTTATTTATTTTTATAATAAGAAGATTATATGAAATATAAACATTTAAATGGTGGCTGTCATAAAAACTTGCCAGATTTATTCAAATATGCATTAAATATTGAAGAACATTAAGATTATAATGCATATGTAGCAAAATGGTCCTCTGGAGTTATTTTTTTTCTAGCTGACTAACGAGTTTGTGAGTTTTCGGAGGTAAATATGATGATACATTGATTACAAGCTGTTTAACTGACGTCTTTCCACGGTTGAAACGCTGATTGAGCGAATCAATGTGACATGATACGGATTTCGATAAGTTGTACTCTATCTTTAACACACTTTCAGATGTTCATTCATGTTTATTTCGCGCTGTAACTGGTATTATTAACCCGGAAGAGAGATAGCGATGCTGTTTCTCTTGAGCTGCGTCTCACGCCACAGCGCCAAAACGTTATTTATGTTTTTGAATTTCTAAAGAAAATGGACGTAATTTGAAAATTGAGACTTTGTTTCATTTCAATAGTAACAAAGGACAAAGATTATTGCGATTTTTTTGGATGCGCGCAGCCGTGATACAATGTCCCATTCATTCAAACGAAACAGGATGACTAGTCGATTCTTGAGATTTAAGAATCGATATCGGTTCGTAAAAATGAGAATTGATTAACATCGAGAAATCGATATTTATTACCCAGCTCTGGAAATCAGTATATTTGATTGGCAGTGATTGTCAATCTAACTAACACTGTAAGAAACTAAAACATCCAACAACATCGTATCAGCCTCACCAAACGACCTTCAAATGCCCTTCACAGGTTGTTAACACAACAGTTGTGCATAGTTAGCAGCGGAATACAACTTCTGACAACAACGAAACAGTAGAAGCTAGACAGTCTGCGTCATATTTTCAGTTTGAAGTCTATGCCATTTACATGCGCTAATAGAATATGCCGGTTAAAAAGGTCAGCGGTTGCATTGTGATAGTTTCCGACTGCCTTATGCGACAGTGACTTATTGAATATAGGCAGTAATAAGGCGGTCAGGGTGAGCTGCATTTGACATATTCCAGCTCCTTAATGAGCTTCCATTCGAGACCTGGCAGAGCACCGTCTGGTACCCACCACACATGCGGTGATGGTCAGATATTTCTCATTGACACACTCAGACAGCTTGTGAAGGATTATGGTCATAAAAGGCAAAAACCTCTAGGGATTCAATCCATCTCGTGCTTTAATCTGAGAATATAAAGTTAAATGCTAATAGGGAGAGGAAAAGGCACACTTTCAAATAGCACACTTTCAGAAGATACACAAAGTGCACAAACGCAAACTTTTCTAGCAACACAAGCTCAATTGAATGAATTGTTGCACTTTGAAATATGTGCAATTCATAACACAATGATATGCTCATATTTGATTCAAATGACACTATAGCTTTAGCATACATTCTCTACTTCTTTGTTAAGTTGTCTTTTTCAAGTTATGACAGCAACAGTTTGAAGATAACCCTCATAAGTAAGCTAGTCAAAGTTATTGAAATTGTAAACTTGTAAATTGTAAACTGTTGACGTTTATAGCAAGCTGTATAATGTCCGACTCCGAAACCATAGTGGATGTTATCTAGTGCACTCATTTAATCCCACAATGCACCGTAATTAAGGCTAGCAAATACCCATAATGTACTGTGAGAGTCGCGCGAGAGTGAACAGAAGATGGCGCCCACAGCAGAATCATCCATTCGTTTCCCAAACTGCTGGTCCAATGTGGCTACAGTGTAATATCATGCAGGTATACATTCATTTTTAATTGATTATTACATAGTTTGATTAATGTTTATACATAATTGCCAATTGCCATGACAGCGCAGTCTCATCCCAAGACGTCATATAACTGACGTCTTTAGACGTATTTTGACTATACGTCAACATCCGCCCTTTTTAGGGTATCCTTAAACGTCGGTTAGATGATGTTATCGGATCCTATCCCTACCCCAGACCTAAACCTACCCCGTCACCTAACCGACGTTAAAGGTAAAGCGTCAGTTGTATGACGGCCCGGGATTGTCATGTAACCAAAGTCTAAGGGTACCCTAAAAAGGCGGATGTTGACGTATGGTCAAAAGATGGTCAATAACTGACGTCTTGGGATGAGACTGTGTTAGCCATGACAGAGTTCAAGATAAATCTTTTCAATACCACTAGACCGGCAAAGTTTCGAACAATCGTTAAATAGCAAGCAAAAGCGGCAGCCCATTCGACGCACTCAGTGTCCGAATTCGCTTTCTCATTTTCGTTCACTCACTCAAGTTAGCTATATTGGTGGACAATTGTAGGGAATAGTGAATGAGGGTTTAGGAGGCACGTTAGGACACAGCCACAGTCCTTTTTTAGCTAACTATGTCGCCCCCTAGACTGTGGAGGATTGTTACCACTGCAATATGTTCCTGGCCATACAATGACTTTACTACTTTTTTAATTCACTATTAGAACACAAACTATTAGGACACCCTTGCTGAAACAAACCCCTGCTATAAGCTGGTATAAACTGGTTTTGCTGGTTTCCCATCTTAATCAATCTAGCATTCACATCGTTTAACTGGCCAGGCCAAGACGGCAGCTGGCAGGTTCCCCCAAACCCCTTTAAAACCAGCAAACAGACCAGTCTATCCAGACTAGGAGACCAGTTAACCGCCATAGGCAGGTTTAAACTGTTTCAGCATGGTCTTCAAGTATTTATTGCTGTTATTTTACTTTTTAACTTTTGCGTGTAGCATAATTAGCTGCCTATCTTGGCCAGGCCACTCCAGCAATAAAAACAAAACAGTTTTAATCTCAAGGTTTCCTGGTTAAATAAAGGTCTAATAATATAATGGGCTTACAAATGATTCCATTTCCTGCTTTAACATTATTAAACCATTATTTTAAATT